CCAAATTATAGCAGTCATTACACTAGGGAAAAGAGTGATATGGAGTATTTGGGTCTGCACCTGAACATAGAGAAAATGTATGAACTGTATGTAGAGGATTGTAATGAAAATGATTTCAACCCTTTGTTAATAGCTAAAAAATGGCTCTACTACAATGTGTTCAACAAAAAATTTAAGTTGAATTTTAAACCACCAGAAATAGACACGTGTGACACATGTGATTATTTTCAAGCAAAATTAAAAAATAATAATTTGACTCTAGATGAAAAAAATTCTATTGAGGAAGACCATAATGCACATCTGGATAAATCTAAATTAAGGTATGATTTAAAAAGCGAGGACACCAAAAAGGCTAACAATACCCTTAAGGTATTAACGGGTGATCTTCAAAAATGTTTGCCGTCACCCCTTATAACAAATTGCATAAGCTTTTACAAAAGAAAACTTTGGACGTTGAATTACACCCTTTTTGATTCTTCTGATTCGTCAGTCCATTGTATTATGTGGGACAAATCCAAAGGAGCTCGTGGCGGAAATGAAATCGGATCTGCATTACTGAAATGGGAAAATACCGTCATTCCTGGCAGTGACATTGAAGAAATCATTCTGTGGTCGGATAATTGTTACGGCTAGAATAAGGATATTAGCCTTATTATGTATTTCTTTTGGATACTCAATAAGTATCCTCAAGTAAAAATCAACACTCAAAAGTTTCTACTAAAGAGCCAAACGCATATGGAGGCGGATACTGTCCATACACTGATAGAGTGGAAGAGAAAAAAACTTAACAACATGACAATTCTAACGCCCTGGGATTGGCAGCAGTTAGTCAGACAGACCTCAATGAAATATACTGTGCATAATATGGAACTGGAAGATTTTAAAAATTTTAGGTTTTTATACGATGTCAAAACATGTGAAAATCCACCCTTTATAAATAGAAAAAAAGATTCCATGCTGTTCTGTTTTACTGCAAGTAAAACAGAACAGCATGGAAACTCTGTTTTTGAAAAGTAATTTCGCTGATGAAAACCAGGAGATTGACCTTGTTAGGTTTCGAAGGCGACACCTTACATTGCCAAACGATTTGCAACTGGTAACACCAAGTCCAATACCAATATCACAACAAAAGTATAATGATCTATTGGCATTATTACTATATGTTCCTACAGTTTGCCATGACTTTTATAAAAACTTAAAGCATACTAGTAATACCACTAGTGAGTACCCTGAAGGAGACTTACCTGATGATGACTGAGTTTTTTGCATCTAAAATACCATTTTAGTTGAATACATAGATGTATTATTTGTATTTGTAAAGAGAATTATAAATAAAATAGTTAAATACATTTTGTAAGTCAAATAGTATTGTGTTTGCTATTGAATATCCCACATTAGGTCTTATAGTACAATAACTTTATTAGAGGGATACAACACCATGTCCATTAAAAAGTGAAAAAAAAACCATAAAAAAGGTTTTTTTTTTATTTTATAACAACTGCAAGATGTAAATAACAATAAATAGAATGTTCTGGTAAAATATTGTTTCAACATCTCAATAAATAGCTGTGCCAATAACACTTTTTGTTGAAAAAAAGTTTAAAACTCCTCTCCTGTAAAGTTGTGAAAATGGACATAGTGTTGTATCCCTCCGAGGTACAGATATATATATGTATATATATATATATGTATATATATATGTATATGTATATATCACCTGTTACATATATATATATATATATATATATATATATATATATATATATATATATATATATATATATATATATATATATATAATATATATATATATATATATATATATATATATATATATATATATATACTTACTAAAGCGTGTTTTGATAAGCATTTGCTCACTTTTTCTGCTTACCTTAAGCTATACTGTTTTTTTCGAAAAAAAAGAAGAAAAAACGAAGAATGATGAATAAAACAATTGCTTAAGGCACATTTGGAAGATTGGATTCTCTTCAAATATATCAAAGTTGTATATGAAATGTTCATATATAACTATATAGAATATTCCTTATTGTATTCTCTTCAAATATATCAAAGTTGTATATGAAATAATCCTTGTTAAAGTATTTTTCATCATCAGACCAGAAGCAATTTTGTGTTAAAGAGTTGGTTAACTAGTTTCCTACTTTTTTCTTTGCCATGTTGTTCTATAATATATTTTGGAGTCTTTTCACATTTTCTATATTTAATATTCTTTTTTTTTTAAATAATGACCAATTTTTGATTGATTTACACCAAATTTAAGACCTATTTTTCTCTGACTGACCCCTTTTCAATTGTTGACAAGTCTCGTTAATTTGGCTTTCTTTTCTCTAGACCAGGATGTTGGATGACCAGGGTGCTTTCTATCAGAAAAAGATTGAAAAGTTTCAAGTTACTTAAGATTATCATATATTGTAGTAAATTCTTCCTTTTCAAAATGATTATGATTTCCTTTTTTTTTAATATTAGATTTATTTACTAAAAACATTTTGAGTGCTTTCGAAAAGATTCTCGTTCAGCTATATTTAACCTCATTTTAAATAATTGTGTTTCAAGTAATAAAGATTATACTTTATAGAACGTTTATGCCTACGCATAAAACCAGGAAAACAAAGTATTATACTCAAATAATTAAATTCAGATTTGCCCAATAACTTCTTCATCACCCATTATATGTATATGTATATGTATATGTGTATATATATATATATATATATATATATATATATATATATATATATATATACATATATATATATACATACATATATACATATATACATTTATATATATATATATATATATATATATATATATATATATATATATATATATATATATATATATACATACATATATATGTATGTATAAAATTTGTATGTATATATATATATATATGTGTATATATATGTATATATATATATTGTATTATATTGTATATATGTATATATATATTGTATGTATATATATATATATGTGTGTATATATATATATATATATATATATATATATATATATATATATATATATATATATATATATATATATATATATATACATACAAATTTTTCATATCACTTATATACTTTATTGAATAATGAATAATGATAATTTTTTCAATGACTTCTTGCCAGCAGAAGGTAATTTGTATATTACATGCCTAAATAAACATGTGCCAATGTGTTGAAAATTTTTATTGAAATAGACAAAACTTTCTGGTAGACCTAATACATAGGCTGGACAGAAGGCGGATACAATGAGTGATTTTCACAAATTTTCAAAGAATACTTGTTTTTTTCCAGAGAATATAAATATAAATTTATAAGAATTATATAAAAAAGTGATACACTTGATTTATGTAAGAACAAAGTATATATTAATTTATAATAAAAACTATAATAACTCAATAAAAAAAATTTTAAATTTTCTTATATTTATTTAGTCTATATTAGTGTACAATTTTAAAAACGATTTAATTAATTAAAAACAAATCATGCATGTGCATTTTTTTGTTAATCATTGACATAGTTTAGGAGTTTAAAGGTTTTTTTTGTATTTGTATATGAGCTATTTTTAAAGTTTAAAAATAGCTCATATACAAGTTTTCAAATCAACAAACATAGTCAACATAAATCATTATCATAGTCATTTAATAAAACAACATCCAGGTCATATTTTACAACAACATCCAGGCCATATTTTACATAAACATCCAGGTCATGTTTTAAAACAACATCCAGGTCATATTTTAAAACAACATCCAGGTCATATTTTAAAAATCGGGAAAGTTTTTTCCTAGAAAAAACCTTGAAATATTTTTTTTAACATTTTTCATATTTGACAGAATATTAACAACAACATTTTTGATATTTTTTTAAAGGGAACTTCTTTTTACAAGTAGAGTTTTTGATGTCATACATTTTTCAATATATAAAATATTTTTAAAGAAAATATAAAAAACTTTTAATTACAATATTTTACAATTTTTTTTTTAACTAGATAATTTAGACAGTAGTTGTTTTAACAAGGAAAATAAAAATAAAATAAAAATAACCAAATAAAAGTATTTCCAACATAATGCAGCTGTTACTTGCTTTTAAACAAAGCACTAAACTTTTTATGCATTAAATATTTGATTGCGTGCTGCAATTTTCATTGAACTGGTTTTCATTATTTGTTTGATTAATAACTCTTGTTTTGTTTAACTTAATGAAATTTATTATTTGTATACACATGTAAATAATAAGCATCCTGTGGAAATATTATTAGTATGCAAAAAATATTTAAATACTTTAATTTTTTTGAGTAGTTAATATATTAGCTTAGTGCTATCGGTGTTCTATTTATCACCCTAGAAGCCAAGCGGACGTGGTTTGCAGGTTCAACTTATCTTAGGTTTAACTCTTCCAATTTTTAAATTTTGATATTTTATTTCAAAATAGTATATGTTTTTTAACTACATTTATTGTTTTTGTTTTTCATAAAATTTGTGTACATTTATCAACTGAAATAGTCATAGTCACAGTGGAGGGTACACACATTATCTACATACATTATCTACATACATTATCTACATACATTGACTTAAAGCATTGCATAATTTATGAATCATATTTTTGTATTACTTATATTATATATTTTTACTATTTTTATAATTTGACAAAAGGTTACAAAAAAATATTTTTAAACTTGTATTTCTGAAAAACTATATGGATATCCGCAAAAAAAAATTGTTAAGAAATATTTAGAATACTGGAAATATCCTGAAAAAGACAATCCTTTATTATTCCTTCTTTTATTCTCTTGCAATATTAAATTATTAAAACTATTAAATTTCAGGTTTGTTTTACAAACAAATCAGGCTCATATTGAGTGTTCTGACCTACAATCTCATTAAGTTGATATAAAAACAAGTTTACATTATTAAATTTAAAATTTGAATACTTTTTAATAATACAATTAAAACCAATGAGTTAAACCTTGCTATTTATCTTCTGACGCCTTGCTCTGCACACAAAAACAACAATACCTTGAACGACCACAATTACAATGACAACTACTAACCAAATAACCCAGCTTTTAGTCTTTGTACTGTTTGATTGACTATTTGTTAATAACATTTCAGCACTAATTGATGGTGTACACGGAAAGCCATACTGTTTCATTATTTTACAGTCAGCTTCATTAAGACAATGGAGTTTTTGATTAGTACTTAAAATTTTACACGGTTGAACATTGTTTACAAGATTATACTCTTGATCCATAAGAATGAATTTAACAAACATATAACTTGATCCTATAGGCTGTTCTGATGATGATTCAACCAAAAACACATCAACATTGCGACGCTTTCTGCCTGAAATATGAAAAATAATTTTTAAACAAATAAAATACTGAAGCAATTTTATGAAGACTTTCATAAAGACTTTATGAAGGTCTTTAAGATCATTTTCTTTTTTACTTTTTATTAAAAATGAGCAGAATGGTTTTTTCATTTAAATGTTAAAAATACAAGTTTGAATATTGCTTAACAGAAAAAATTCCTGCATACTCACATCAAAAGGAAAAAGAAATAAATATTATTAATATTTTTATTTAATTTCTTCTTGATGTTATCAAACGAATATTTTGCCTACAGTATACTTCTAAATTGCTCTATTATCAAACCTCTTTTAGTTTGTTTTCTTTGTTTACTTTGAAAATTAAAGTAGCAAAGTGCAAATTTTGATTTATAACAAATTGGTTTCACAGTAAGCTCTTTCACATATTTAAGAAGCACCAGCCATCTTTTTCTAGATGTCGAAAATAAAACATGCAGGTGTTGAAGAATCCCAAAAAATGTTATAGCTTCTTGGCAAATTTTGGCTATATCTTGCAATAGGAGATTGTAATTATGACATGTACAAGGTGTAAAAAATGCTCTTGAATTTTCTTTTAGCAATCTTTTTTTTTTTTTTTTCATTTTATTTTAATTCACCTCCTCAAGGCCGAGACGGCCACTACAGACAAGGAGGCTACTTATTTGTGGCTATAACCCTCTCTCAACTCTATAACTCTGAAACACGAACCTTGACGAACAAGGCCGCTGCGCGGAGAAACGAGTTGAGCGCGGTACTACCAGGGACGTGGTGGGAATCGAACTCGGAACCACTCGTTTATGAAGAGAGCGCTCTAGAATCTAGCCTGAATCCCTGAAACCTTTCCCTCAATGTTATATTCCTTTGGAGTTGTTAATTAAATTTAAAAAAAAAACTATTTTCTTATAAACTGTTTAAATTAAAAGAAATAAAATCTTTGTTTTTTACGACTATTGCATTAAGAAAACTAAAACTCTAGTGTTTAGTTTTTTGGTAATTTCAATAATTTGTTTAAATGCCGCCAAGGTTTAAACAAGTCAGAGTTGACAAAGACAGTTTTGAATGTTTTGGGAGCAAGAAAGCAATCCTGTAGAAACTTCTGTTGACATCAGATCAATAAGCTTAACAAGCACTCCCATCAAAGAAGTTGAGAAAATTTTTTTGAAGTGTTGGGATGAAAAATATTAAGATTACATAAAAAAAAGAGACTGGAAACTATATCTATAAATCATGCTCTTAACTGCACAAAAGAAATGGCATGTAACTATCTTAACAAGTTAGCTGAATAACTTATAAAAAGTATTATTGGGAACAAGGAATGTTTTATGCATTTATTTACAGAGTTATGGCCAAAGTAGGGATCAAATAAAACTATTAAAAATGCAGGTTAAAAAGTTGGAATTTCAAGTGGAGGACTCAGTGTTGAGAGAAAGCAGGAAAATAATTTCTTACAAACCGGGCAGTGTATTAATGAAAATATTGAAAATAATTCATCATCATTACCAATCTCGTCTTCAAAAGATGTTCTTTATGGTTTAGAAAACTATTGGAAACATAAATACAAAAGTGCCATGGAAGCTTGTCAAACAATATCTGATAAATCAGTATCTTATAAATATATATTAATATATATATATATATATATATATATATATATATATATATATATATATATATATATATATATATATATATATATATATATATATATATATATATATATATATATATATATATATATATATATATATATATATAATCCAACTAAAACAAAACTCATTTAACTAAAATGTTTAGTCTATTTAATTTATGAATTAAAAAACCATTTTATTCTTTGTTTTAACATTTGTACTTTGTTTTTTGTTTTTTTAATATGTTTCAAAAGATAAACGTTTGTCATAAAAAACGCATAATTTATTTAACAGTTTATTAATACTTATTATATTACCCAAAGCATTTCGATAATATAAAAGCATTTAAGATCAAACTTATTTAATTGTAACGGCTTTCTAAAACATTTGTCTTTTTTTTTAATGAAATTTTGTTTATCTTTTCAAATGTATTAACTTTAATTATTCTTATAAAAAAAATCATTAAAGAGATTTTCGTTGTCGTAGAATTTCATCGTTTCTAAAAACAAAACAAAAATTTCATTTTTTAATAAACTTTGTTATAAAAAAATGCAAACTTAAACAATTTATATATTAAAGTTAAAAAATATATATACAACTATCAAATATACTTTAAAAAAAACCATTATCAGTATTGTTACTTTATTTAAAAGCATTTTGCTAATATAAAAACATTTGTTAAAAGATTTGACATTATTTATTTCACCTAGGTATAATTCAGAATATTTATAATTCAGCGTGTTTTTTAAATTTTTTTTGAAATAACCATGGTCAAACTGTCAAAGCAAAATATAATTTGCCTGGTCATATAAAGATGTGCATGGTCATATTGCACATCTTTATATGACCAGGCAAATATGACCTTTATATGACCAGGTTTTTTATGACCTGTGAAAGACTGATCTAGGAAAATAAAGCCAAAAAAAAAAAAACTGATAAAGTAAAAGAAAATCCAAGCAACAACAACAAATTGAAGCCTTCTATAAATGTAAAGAAGAGTCTACATCTGGAGTGTACACCTGGAGTGTACATCTGGAGTGTACATCTGGCAAGAATGTTTGTGCATCATCCTTTTAATTTAGAATGTATTTTCTTCATCATCTTTTTAATTTAGAATGTATTTTAAGGATAATGTTTATTTTTTTTTTTATAACTTAACATTTTATCCTTTTTTCAGATTATACATGGCTTTCAGTATTTAACAGAAAAATTCGGGTTTTAAGTTGCTTAATTTAAAACATAACCTTTTGAGGTCCCCTTACCTGTAATTAAAAAATATTTAATAAATGCATCTACAAGTAAAAGGACCTCAGAATGCAGTGGGACCTCAGAATGTCAGGTTAGAAATAAACCAACATAGAACTTGATTTTTTAAAATAAACTCTGAAAGCGTTGAATAATCTGAACAAAGAATATAATGTTAAGTCATTAATAAAAAAATATTACATTTAATACTTAAAAAAATACTCTAAATTACAAAAACGTTGAAAAAAATCTACAAGCTATTAACACTTTTTTTAACAATAATTTCAAACATTTCAAGCCCTTCTAAAAATAATAATTGCAGAACCTTATAAGAAATGTTGCCTTAAGACTCCAAAAACAGTGCTAAAAAGATGCAAACACAGAACAAATCCAATTTTCTTTAAATTGCTTTTTGAAATACCTAGCTTTTTGAGGTGCTGCACCTAACGTTTTGAGGTACCAAATCAAAAACTATATAACAAACTTCAGTGATTACTTTTGATATTTTTTTTTTAAATAACATTAACAAACTTAAAAGAAACTTTATGAACAAAAAATATAAAAATAAGGTCCTGGTAAACTTCAATCAAATATCAGCAAATAGAGAGTTCTACGTTGTATTCTGGATAAAATCAGCTGTAGGATATGTCTTCAACATTGTCTTCATGAGACTCAAACTGAAGGCATTTTTTAGGTCCTATTTCACAAAATGGTTTGATCATATTTGGTTTTAAGCATGTTTCACCTCAACATGATGCTTTGCTACATGTAGATTTCAAAACATTATGGCAACACGAGCATTCTCATGGCAACACGAGCATTCTCATGGCAACACGAGCATTCTCGAAGCTTAATTGCTGCACAAACATTCTTTCCACAGGTACATTCTTCCTTACATTTATTAAATACCTCAATTTGTTGTTGTTGCTTGGATTTCCTTTCTTTATTAGCTTTCTCCTTTTTGGCTTTGTCTTCCTTGATTGAAGAAACCGTTTCCAATATTTTTTTTCCCTGCATCGACTCGTGAACCTAGGTAACTCTAACATTTCCCTTGTTTATTTTAGGTGTTACTTTGGTTACAGGCAACAAGTTAGGTATTTCTTCCAGTGATATTGATTTATCAGATATCGTTTGATAAGCTTCCAAAGCACTTTCGTATTTATGTCTCCAATATCTTGCTGAACCATAGGGAACATTTTTGGGAGATGAAATTGTTAGGGCTGTTGATAATTGATTATTTTCGGTACTTTCATTAATACACAGCTCAGCTCGTAAAAACTTATCTTTCTGCATCCACTTAACACTGAGTCCTCCACTTGAAATGACAACTTTTTTACCTGCAGTTATGATTATTTGTTTTGAGGCCCACTCTGGCCATAACTCTGCAAGTATATTCATGAAACCTTCTCTGTTGATTGTTATAAACGAAGAATAAAGTTTAAATTTAGCACTTCTGAACTCAGAGTGCAATTTCTGATTGATTTGGTCAAGGAGCTGGGTAACGCCAGTTGTGTTGGGTGGAGTGATAAAAAGTGTAATACTTTTGCTTCCTAAAAATGTCAATACATCACTGTCAAATCTTGAAGAGTGAACATCAGATAGGACAACAACAGGTTGTTTTATGTTGTTTATTTCTAAAAAGTTTTGGAGCCATATGGGCACTAATCGCTTTTCCCTTGAATATGACGTGGCACATTGCTATATTTCCTCCAAAGGAAACAAAAGGATGTATGGTTAAGCATTCTCTATTTTCTCTTATCATCTTATGACAACTTTTCCCTCTCCCAGCATACATTAAACCATTTGGAGTACCATCAACTCCATAGTTTATAAACTGAGGGTTTCATCACAATTATAAATTCCAGTGGTATCTATATCTCCCTGCCATACACCTGTTTCTAATTGATTTGCATCAATGAAAATATTACATTCTATAAGTTCTTCTGCTAATTCGTTGAGGTGGTTACATGCCATTTCTTTTGTGCAGTTAAGGGCACAATTCATGGATACAGTTCCTTGTTTCTTTTTGGTAATGTACTTTTGATACTTTGCATCCTAATGCTTCTGAAAAGATTTCCTAACCTTTTTTGTTTGGAGTGCTCATTGAGCATTTGGTAATAACTTAGTAATCTGATGTCCATGAAAGCTCTCTACAGGCTTGCTTTCTTACTCCTAAAACATTCAACATTTGTCAACTTGGACTTGTTTAAACCTTGAAAGCTCCTAAATAAATTATTTAAATAACAATACAAGAAAACTAAACAGTATGAGCTTAATTTTCTTAATTTACAATATGAAAACCAGGAATTTATTACAGATAATAACAGTTTATTAAAAAAAAATTATTTTTCAATTATGTGTACATATTAGCTATTCTTGTTTCTTATATAACAGACTAACAATATTTCTTCATCTTTTGTAAAAACTGAGCAATATTCCTTCTCATTTCTTGTTACAATGACACCATCAATCCGTTTGTTAATTGTTCTAAGATCTTTAATTAGTAGAAATCTTTTTGAATTAATTGCAGCCCAACCACGTTTATTGTTAATTTGGCACCACTCAACTGCTTCCTCTAACTGCTTACTTTTCATCACTATGACATCTCTTAGAACATTGCATCTTGATTTGCTTGTTGGTTTAATTCTAAAGAACTTTCCCATTTCTTATTTATTCTCTACTGCAAAGGAATATAAAAATACACTTATGTTGTATACTTTAAAAAATGCACTTCAGTTTAATTTATTTATTTGTTCAAAAACAAACAAAGAAAACATACTAAAGTGTGTTTTGAAAGAAGTTTCGTGATGAAACTATAAGCAGAATATTCATTTTATAACGTCAAGAAGAAATTGAATGCAAATAACTTTTTTTTTAATATATAAATTAACTTTCATTTACCTTGCGTTTTGAGGTCCCTTAACCTAGCATTGTGTGGTGGAATGAAAAAAGTATAAAAGATAAACAAACCAACCATTTAAAAATATATTTAGCATTAAAAAAATAATATATGCAGAAATTCATGATTAACGAAGCAATATTGGCAACAATACTACCTTTTATTTTACCTGACATTCTGAGGTCCTGAGCGAAAAAAAGCATGTCCTAAATATTTATTTAAAAACATATAAAAACTGTATTAAAAAACTACTAAAACTTTTTGACAATCTAGCAGGTGTGTTTTTTTAACTTACAGAAGTAAAAACAAAGTATATGCTCAAATATTTGGAGTTAAGCAAAATCTTAAAAAACACCTAACATTCTGAGATCCCTTTACCTGTACCCAAATATTGTTTAATAAATTAACAAATGCATGTACTTAAAAAATATTTAATAAATGCATGTACTTAAAAAATGTTTAATAAATGCATGTACTAAAAAAATAATGAATGAGCAAAGCATGAACTTAGCATGACTTTTTTTAAATAGAAAACATAATGGTAAGTAATATTTAAAAGAGAACAACAACATCTCAGAAACAAGGTTGATAACACAGTCTTTAACATTTACATTTTATTATCAAAATACATTAACTTGTTTGGTAGACACAATTATGGAAAATTATATAATGCTCAACTTAATGCTCATTTGTTAGTGTTTGACACAGAACTCACAGCATTAATTGTTTTAATGAGATTTAATGTGTGTTTGGCATCATTGCTCTTTTGGAACTTCCATTCTTGGGATTTATTTTCTTCTACAAAAGGCACCATTCGATTCTCCAGAATTGAATTATATATTTATTAGTACATTATACTTTCAATTAAAATAAGTGGTCTCAACCATGAAAATCCCCCAAAGCACCCTAAACCATCAAACCTTTGACACCCCATGTTTCATGTATCCTATAGTGCACATTAGTTTTAACCACTTGCCAACTGGTTTTCTCACATTTTGTCTAATATCTGAACCCCTCAGTATAAACTTGGATCCAACCATAATATTTGTCTCTACTGTACTACCATCAAATTTTTATGAGTCTTTGCAAACTCTAAAAGTGTATTTTGTATCTTCTCCAATATAAAAGATTTTTTTTGCTGCATGGTAACTACCCCGCATCATTCAAATGTTGCAATTTTCTGAAATATCAAGTTTTAATTTGCTTCTAATTCAAATTAGGGCCATTCCACTGTCATGAAATGACCTTACTGTAATTTTATTCTAGGACAACATTTTGTTGAAATAACATGAGATCCATGGTTTATGGGAAACTTTGTCAAAATTGGTTTTGTTTGGCTGGGAATGACCCATTACATTTCTGTTTTGGTTTACATTCATTCAGAATATAATTAGATTCAACTTTGAATTTTATCTGAATTAAATTTGAATTTTAAAAAGTTTTTTAAAAAGTTACAACTTACTTAAAACAGGATAAGATGTCATGTTTCCATGCAATGTTTCTGTAACAAACATTTCCATTTCAAAGCGAAAATTTCCAGAATAATATGTTTTAAAATCAGTGTTAAGTAATACTGGAAGCACAAATTCTTTGCTAACACAACTAAAAAAAAGTTGACAACATGTATTGTGTAAAACATCTAAAATAAAAGCATAACATGACACATAAAATATTCATTTGCATTATGTATTATATTTATCAAACTTTAATTTTTGATAAAAAATGTAAAAGTATGAAAGTACAAGTGTGGAAATATAGATGTTAAATTTTAAAAAAATAAATAAAATAACCCCAGCTGTTAATTAAAAATAGTTCCTTTTTAATGGACTAAATGACCAAATAGCAAATAGAAGTATTTTATTGTAGAATGACTAACAATTAACTATGACAATAGTCATAATTAATAACAATTAACTATGACAATAGTCATAATTAATAACAATTAACTATGACAATAGTCAAAATTAATAACAATTAACTATGACAATAGTCATAATTAATAACAATTAAATTGTCATAATTAATAACAATTAAATTGTCATAATTAATAACAATTAATTATGACAATAGTCATAATTAGTAACAATTAAATTGTCATAATAACAATTAAATTGTCATAATTAATAACAATTAATTATGACAATAGTCATAATTTATAACAATTAAATTGTCATAATTAATAACAATTAATTATGACAATAAAAGTTGACTAACAACTAACTAAGAGTTTGAAAAAATCTAAAAATCTAAAAATTGTCTTTTTTACTAATATTTTTTTGCTAAACTAAAAACCAATAATTATTGAATCCATTGACATCTATCATCATTAAGTAGAATATGCATTACTAAATTTATTCTGTCTATGATGACATCAAACTTTGTTGTTAATAGTTGTGTGCATTACAAGTAAGCTGATGTTGGTGAATGAAAAATTCTCTGTAGTTAGAGATAAAAAACAAATTTTGTTTGTTCATAAATGCATACCATTATAAATATATAAATGTATTAACTTTAAATATAATGTATATGTAAGTTTTTATCTAAAAACTTATATATTTATATATTTTGTTATTATTATTTTTTAATTCACATCCACAAAGCCGAGAAGGCCACTACAGACAAGAAGGCAACTTAATTGTGGTTATAACCTTCTTTTAACTCCATAACTCTGAAACACGAACCTTGACAAACAAGGCAGCTGCGAGAAGAAACAAGTTGAGCGTGGTACTACCACAGATGTGGTGGGGATCGAACTCAGAACCTTTTGCATATGAAGCAAGTATACGGTTTTAATAAGTCAGCAATTAAAGACAATCCAAGAAGACAAAGAACTGAGGACTCAGTGAAAGTTTTTCATCCCTTCAATAATCTAAGAGGCCTTAACATTTGACAATATTTTTTGTGTCAATTTCTTAAAACGATAAAAAGATGTTTGTGAAAAGAAATGATTAAAAATAGTTGCAAAAGAGGAAGATTTAAAGTACGACATGCCTTAATCCAGGACAGGCCAAAAATACCATTTGCATTTTTTTTTATGCAATAATAAAAAAACCTTTGTTCTTCTGAATTGTTCTTGTAAAAAAGACAAAAAATATGATTAATCTTACAAATAGCAGCTTTTTTAAATAAAGGATGAAAAAAGCTGAGAGTCAGAGAAAAGACACAAATCAAGGAGTGAAGGTATATATATATATATATATATATATATATATATATATATATATATATATATATATATATATATATATATATATATATATATATATATATATATATATATATATATATATATATATATATATATATTTGTGTGTGTGTTTGTGTGTGTTTCTTTTATGTTTGTGAGTTTTTTAAAATTCTGAGTTCAATAATTTTTTCTTTTAGTCGCACTAAACATTTGTTATAAAATTTACAAAAAATTTCAAATTTTTAAAAACAGAATATTTAAATTTTTTTTACAAACCTTGTTTTTGCTTTTATAAATATCGAACATATTTCATTCAACAAACATTGACCATTTAAACATAAAGATTCATTTCTGTCACAGTTTAACCCAGTGAGGCCTTTTGGGCATTGACAACCTGCACCCAATTGCACAAATGGACTTGGGCAAGGTATTCCTGTATTTAAAATGTGTATTAAAAACAAAAACAACTTTTGAACAAAAATTTAGGTTTAGTAAAATTACCTTGAATAGTGAAAACATCTGATGATTGGATTGAATTTGATGGAACTAAATTTTCCCAACATTTGATAACAAACTTAAATACTTTATCTACACTAAATTTCTCTATCACAGAATTGCTTTGAATGGTTAAGTTATTTCCAACAATTAAATCATAGGGCAGGGTCCTATCATAATATATAGAACAATTATATATATTAATAAACAGTTTAAAAGCTTGAACTTTTGAAAGACAAATTTCCTTTGTTTCAATTATATCAGGATCTTCTATAAGTATCTGACTCAATTCAGAACCATAACTATGCATATTTGGGGAAATTAGAGTATTAGTTAAGCATATCTTTGTTGGGGCTTCATTTACATCTATAAAAAGAAATTAGAGTTTAGTTAAACATTATCTCCATTTATATCTATAGTAAAAAATTATTTTTGTTAAAGTTTTTTTTTTTAACATTTGATTTTGAAATAATTCTAAAATTTATGAATATGAAAAAACTTGTCAAGTTATCAATTATAAACAAAAAATAAAATTACTATAAATAAAGTATTAAATATTATATAACATTTTTTTAAAATAAACTTTATATAAGGAGATCGATACATGGCCCAGGAAAAAAGTTCTATAGAAATTCTATAAACTTTTGAAACATATGGTCTATAGAAATTCTATAGAATTCTATAGAATTTCTATAAAATCTCTATAAATTTCTATAGAAATTCCTATAGAACTTTTTTTTCTATATATACTATTATAGAAAAAAAGGTTTTCAAAATCTTCTACCCTGATACTACAAAACAATTTCCTATGGACAATTATTTAAGTTTTTTACATTTCCACTTCTATTTTTTTGGGACTTGGTGAAAAGACAAAGTTTGTCTTCTTCTAGCTTCAGTCATGTAAACATTTGTTTATATTATTTACAATTGTAAAATATTTTTTTATTGGCAAATACACAGACACATAAAAAAAATATGTGCACAATCATTAAGGAAGGGTAAATCTATAACAGCCACAGATATCCCGGAATGATAGGCACTTGCAGCTGCAAAAAAACGAAGACTCTAAAGAGCCTAAACAGCCAAAAAGCTTTTAAAAAGTTGACGGTAGTTAATATAGAAAATATTGAAGTTCAACCACCCATGGCTCTACGCTGCTGCTGTAACAAATATTAAAATTTAATCTTATTTTTTTCTTTTACTTTATTATAACTTGATACCCTTTATGCTTGTTTTTTCTATATTTAAACTAACAATTGTTTATTTATTATATCGATGAAAACTTTTTAGCAAACAGATTAGTTTTTATAGCATTTTTTTAACTATATTTTAACTTGATACTATCATTATTCATTTTTGTTTATATTTACATTTGTTTATTTTACATTTGTTTATTTTAAAAGATTAGGTATTAAAAACAATGTTTTTATTTGTCTTTATAATTTTAGTTGTAGAGGCTGTTGAATATCGTAAAATTCAATTATTTTTATGTTGATTTTATTTTATTTCGACACTTGCGAATTTTTTGCAAACCAGTTGAGTGTTTTTGATTTTATTTTTTATTTATATAAATACTTTGTCATAAAATAAATTTTACATCTTTTTTAATGACTCAGATTTGTAAGCTTTTTAACATTTGTTTAATGATATTAACATCACTCATTGCTCTAATTTAGACATATATTAAATATAAATAAATATATCTTATTTATATAAATACTTTTTGTGTCATAAAACAAATGAGATTTCGCTTTATTTATTTTATTACACTATATTATATATATATATATATATATATATATATATATATATATATATATATATATATATATATATATATATATATATATATATATATATATATATATATATATTACCGGTACCCTAATATTTTGGAGAAAAAAAGTTTTTCTAAAGTAGGCCAACCTGGTAGTCAAAAGAAGCGAAATTTTATAAAAAATTTGATATTAATAATCGTTTTATAACAATCATATTGCCCAAAAAAATTGTCATTAAAAAACATGTAAAAATGAACTTTTTTCACTTTTAGTTGAAAAACCATAGTTATTATGCAATAAAATCTAAAATAATAATTTTCATATCAAAATATTATTATTTTTGAAAAATAATAATATTTTGATATGAAAATTTGTAGGTACTCAAATAAAATTTCGCTTTATTTGAGTACCTACCAGGTACTCAAATAAAATTTCGCTTTATTTGAGTACCTACATTACACAATTTTAAAAAACTTTTTTTTTGAATAATAAAAGGGCCTGCTAATTTTTGTAATTAAAGTTGCAGTGGAAGACATTGTTCAATCCATAAAAGTAAATACTTTCCTAAATTAGTACATAAAAAAACAACTTTCTAGACCATAACCAGGTTAGCAACTTAAAAAAAAAATTTTTATGACCCACCCTAATATATATATATTTTGTATATATATATACATATATATATATATATATATATATATATATATATATATATATATATATATATAGTCTTGCATGGTAGTCACAAAGTTTTTCCCATAAACTGTTGTTTTAAAGAGCGCGTTAATACGCCTGACCAGAAAATGTTGAAAAATTTTTTGCCCAAACCAAACCCTCAGTCGATGTAGTAGCACTCCCTTGCGAGTCAGGCTATTTGTCAGTCGATGTAGCAGCGCTCCGTTGCGAGTCAGGCTATAAAATAGTCGATGTAGCAACACTCCCTTGTAGCAGCAGGCTATAAGATAGTTGGTGTAGCAACACTTGTTTTAAAAATGTTTTTTAATAAAACAAAAACAAAAACACCACTAATTAAAAAAAACTTTCTAGTCATTATTATTGCGGTTTTTTTAAAACATATATATATATTTATATATATATATATATATATATATATATATATATATATATATTTATATATATATATATATAAATATATATATATATATATATATATATATATATATATATATATATATATATATATATATATATATATATATATATATATATATATATATATATAAACTATATATAATAATAGATTTTTAAAATTAATGAACTCAAAATAAGAAAAGGAGGAGCTCAAAAATTACAAGAGAAAAACCAAAAATTGATGAAATTATCAGCTAACAAATGTCTTAAAATAAGCGATTTCATTCCCAACAGAAATAATGTATAAATATAAGATATAAGTAAAGCTGATGAAAAAGTGATAACAAAAAGTAAAAATTATGTACAGATCCAAATTAATTCCAATAATAACAACGTCAACAACTGGAACCGAATCTGAAGATATTACAGCAACTAGTACTAAATAGTGACGATGTAGCAGTTGAAAATTTGTCAGAATGTACACAAAATGAGATTCAAGTTCAGATAGATTCAAACATTAGCATCGCAGAAACCGTCAGCCATCATCCTGCTTGTGATAGTGATATGGTTGTTGATCAAGGTGTAATTATTGTAGAACAAAATATTGACTGGTTTTCTCGTCCACCATCAACACTTCTCAATAAATTTTTTGAAATACATCCAATTCAAACTACCAGAGATCCTATTGTTGTGAAATCTTTTGTACGGAAAAATATTACGAATCGTAAATGGTTATCTTACTCTGAAAGCAACGATGCATTATATTGTTCAATATGTTTAGCATTTTACCAACTGTTGTAATGAGTTCTTTTGTTAGTGGAATGACAGATAGAAAACACATCAATGTATAAGCAGCTTCAAACTCATGTCCCCTGTAACTAAGACCACGTTTTCCAATAATTTCACCCGCAGGAGCACAAGACGTCGCTTTTGAACTTGTTCTCGGCGTACAGAAATTTGAGTAGAAAACAGTAAATTTGAGACGTTGGATCTAGATACATGTTGGAAATAGTTTTCTGTGCATTCATTATGCAATGCTGATTTTTCATGTTCATCAACTCTTTGATGTTCATGAAAAATCAGCATGATTTTCATGTTCATCAAAGAGTTGATGAACATGAAAAATCAGCATTGCATAATGAATGCACAGAAAACTATTTCCAACATGTATCTAGATCCAACGTCTCAAATTTACTGTTTTCTACTCAAATTTCTGTACGCCGAGAACAAGTTCAAAAGCGACGTCTTGTGCTCCTGCGGGTGAAATTATTGGAAAACGTGGTCTTAGTTACAGGGGACATGAGTTTGAAGCTGCTTATACATTGTCAGATAATTCAATTGATCATGGAAATTTCTTAGAAATGGTGTTACTTGTCAGTAAATATGATACTTGTTTGTGAAAAACGGAAGAACACAGGAAGTACTGGAAGAGGTTCCATGGTTACTTTTCTTTCAAAAACCACAATAACAAAACTCATTCAAATTACGAGTCGTTCCACACAGAAAATCATTGCAAAAGAAATTAACTCAGCTGGTATGTTTTCAGTTCAAATTGATACAACAGAAGATATAACAACTAAAAATCAATGCTTAATAGTTGTGAAGTATGTAACACATTCACGAAAGATTATTAACTACGATTGCCTGCGACTCTTCTACTGGCGAGTATCTGTCGAGTTTAGTATCTGAAACTTTAAAGGCATTGAACATTAATATTTTAAAGTGTGTTGGTAATTCAACAGATGGAGCTGCAAACATGAATGGTGAGTATAACAGTTTCGCAGCTTAGATGTTCAAAGAAAATCCAAACCAAATACATGTATGGTGTTATGCTCATGTTTTAAATTTGGTTATTTCAGATATTTGTATTGTAGTGTCGTTTTATCCAGTATTTCCTTGTTTAATTTGTTGAATGACGTATCAGTGTTTATTCCTGGATCATATACAAGAATGAATATTTTTGAAACAGAAAATCAGAATGATATACACAATCGCAGAATTTCAACTACTGGTGGTCAAAGGATGCAGCGTTAACAAAAATATTTGGTACCTTTGCCAATCCGCATTCTAGTTTCTACGTTGAACTTGTAGTTGCATTGTCTAATATTGAAGACAATTTAAGTTTCAAATCTGAAGTTCGAGTAAAAGCAAAAGGCTTCAAAGAAGGACTCAATTAGGAAGTATGACACAATTTTAATTGCACAAAAAAGGAAGTATGACAATTTTAATTGCACACATTTTTTTACGGGTTTTTCAGTTGACGACACCGCTCTCAAAATATTTACAAACAGTAAATATGGACATTTTGGTTGCATACAACATGGTTACGCAAACGATAGACACATTGAAAAAGTATTTAGAGGAATTTGATATAGTATTGGAAGCTACTAATAATTTTGTCTGTAAAATTATTGAAAAACTTGAACAACTTGAATTAGAAGCAGAGAATACTCTACCAGAAAAAAAAATTCGAATGAAAAAAGTATTATCAGGCAA